GTGTCTTTCATCAGATATATTTTACACAAGGATTTAGTTTAGGTAAGCTACAACAAGTGTCAAAGATTTAAAAACAACTCATTAGAGAAATACCAAAGTAAGAACATTTTTATAACATTTTTCTCTGGATGGGTAAAGCCCTCTCTTATTTGATTTACAGGTAGACTGTCTACGTCAGCTCAAACTATCACCACTACACCAAAGGATTATTTGAGACCCATTCATTAAAAGGGTAGTTTTCAAACATTTTAAAGCCAAGCATACTGAAAATGAAATAGCATTTTAAAGCTATTTTATTTAAGTGAAATAGTTATCCAGAACTATAGTACGTGAAACATTAAACAAGGTGGGTGGGGGGACTGGAGTCCTCTCTGAAAGCATACTGCCTTCCCTATATGGCATCTCATTGAAACTTAAAAGGTGCCACTGAACTTGAAAACCACTAATCCAAAAAAAAAAAAGCATTTTGTTTGCTCCTGTCTCTAATTCCATTCTTGTTTAGGCATGTATTTATGCTTTTTTTATGTATATATTTATACATGTCTTTTGACTAACTCATTTGCAAGTAAGTTGCAGACATGACACTTCACCCCTAAATAACTTCAGTGTCTATTGCCTAAGAATGAGGACATTCTTCTGCACAATCATTATATCATTTCATATCTAAGAAAATTATCATAATAATCTAAAATTCAGTCCATATTAATTTTTTTTTTTTCAATTTACAGCCTTTTCTTTTTTTTTGACCCAGGATACAATAAAGGTCACACATTATTTGGTTATGTCTGTTTAGTGTCCTTTAACCTACAACAGCGCCCCTGCTACCACCATTTTTTTCTTTGATGACATTAACTTTTTTGGAGAATCCAATCTGTCTATCTTATAGAATGTTCTTCATTCTGGATTTGTTGGATTGTCTCCTTGTGTTTATGCATTATATCCTGATTTCTATTGCAGGCATCTGTCTATATCTTATCTCCCTTACAAGAATTCATTAGACCATGTTCCACAGTATTCAGAGCTGTGTCTTACACTACAATTTAACCCAGAGGCTGTACAGGGTTCTGTTACCTGTCATATGGTACTGGATGACATAGAAGGTGACTGAGTACTGTATCTGTATATCTGGGCCTGGAGATAAACAAGCTCACAGTATTTATGATTTGTTGGCGGATACTTGGCTGGCTGATTAGGGATAACCGGGCACAGATAACTCCCATAATTTCTGGCACCTGGAGAGGAAAAAAAAAATCCACTATAAGACCTCAATCCCATGGAACGTTGATGGTTACTAAGGCTATTGTAGCCATTTCTGAAAGGTCCTAGGGAGTGACTTTTTTTTTTTTTAATTTGTTTTTATTGTGATTTGGGTGAAAGTTTACGATGATAGTAAGAAAATCTACTATATGACTTATTTTGCACATTAACAACATATGACTGGCTGTAACGAATGCTGAAGTGTGAGGCAAGAGAAACCCCGGCTGTGATGGTTAAGGCTATGTATCAACTTGGCTGGATCATGACTCTCACTAGGTTGGCTGTTACATAAGGATGTAGTCATCCTTCATTTTGTGATCTGATGTGGCTGTCCTCCATTTTTGCATAATGCTGATTTTTGCATAATAATCTGGTCTTTGGAACCTAACCATGTTGGTAAGTGAGGACTGGGTGTATACAATATTGTTAGAAAAAGAAAGCAGCAAATTGTATACAGACTAATTAGGACTATGTAATAGCATGCAATCCTATGACTAAAAAATCCCAAGGTGCTACAGAAAAGGTATATGGTAATGTTAAGGTAAGGGGTTGCATGCTTAACATGGAAAAGCACTTTATAAATTCAAATAAACTTTCATAACCCTTTGCTTAAAAGAGCATGAAAGCACAGTTAATACTAAAAAGAAAGCCTCTGATAGACAGTTGGATGCACACATGGAGCCCAGACCATGCTACAAACACATGGTGATAACCTAGAGTTCCTCCCAATCCACATGGAGTACACTCTAAGTCAGACTTAGGCTGCCCCTCTTATTTGGTCTCCACTGCTTCCTTTCACCTCTCTGAGGACCCTCAGTATTTCCACCAAGAGCTGAAACCATGAGTCTGTGAGTGAGAGGAACAGTCCAAGCAGAGAAATTATTCCTGTTGATTTTACCGAGCATGATGGACATCCCTGGGAAGAAGGTAGATAAGGGTTTCTCTGCCATCCTCAGAGTCAGAGTAGACTCCAACTTTTTCCAACACTTTTATTCTCATTGTAGAATCAACACATAATCACTGAGGAAAATTTTTTTAAATATGTAAGCAAAAAGAAAAAAAAAAAACCTCACTACTCCAAGACACACTGTTTATATCTTTGTATATACAGCCAACTCTTTTATACATACACATACATGCAGATAATCTAAGCAATTTTGATAAACTTTTTAAAAAATAATAAAAATGTTGTTTTAAAAGTCACTCCCTAGGACTTTGGACATCAAGCTCAATTAGCATAACATACTACACAAAAACATTGTTCCACATCCTACTTGGGTGAGTAGCAACTGGGATCTTAAAAGCTTGCAAGCAGCCATCTAGATGCAATGATGGGTATCTCTTCATCCAGAGCAAAGAAGAATGAAGAAAACCAAAAATGCAGAGAAACAATTAGTCCAAAGGACTGGTAGATCATGCGATCTTCAGCCTGTAGGACCATGAGACCAGAAGAACTAGATGGTGCCTAGCTACCACTGTCAACCAATTGGAGGGGGATCTGTGTAGGAGATCCTGGATAGAGTGGGAGAACAATGTGGAACAAAACTCAAAATCATAAAATAAAATAAAAAAACCCAGGGTTGCTGGTCTGATAGAGCCTGGTGAAACCCCTCAGACTATGGCCCCTATCTGTCCTTCAGGTCTGGAATTGCACTCACTCCTGTGGCTTCCAGCCAAATAACAGCCAGGCATATGGGCTGAACATTAACAGTAGGTAGATATAGTCTTTGGAGAACTCAATCATGGGAGAACAGAAGGGCAGTGTATGCACAGGGAGACTGCTCAGGGGGCAGGAGTACATGGGAGGGAAGGACACAAGGAAGAGGCAACTATGGGGAGGAAGGGGGAAAGAGAGCTGTTACAGTATGGAAAATTACAGTCAATGTTATGAGACAAAATATGTATGAACTGCTGTATGGAAAGGAAAAAAAAATCACTAAGTCATATAGTAGATTTTTTTACTATCATCGTAAATGTGAAATGTTGGATTATGAGAAGTAGGTATTATTTACTTTCCATGTGTCTACTTAGCCTTTATCTTTGTAACTTTTAATGGTTATACTTTTCTCCATAATTCATCGCTGACTTAGTGTGAGGGAGACTGATTTAGCAGAAAGAACATTAGGCAGACAATTAATTAAGACATCTTAATTAAGATATGTGACTTCTCTTTACATGAGTCCTGGCTCTGTCAGCAACTACTGCTGTGGTACTGGAGAAGTCTTTTAAATTCCTGGGATCCCAGTTTTTCTCACCTATAAATTGAAAAATGTGTACTAGTTTTCAATGCCTTTTTAAAATTATATGAAGTACAGTTACAAAAAATTCTTTTTGTACATAATTTTTCATCCATTTAAATTATTTCCTGAAATTAAGTTAATAAATTCTAAGGCATGGGATTTCTATGATAAAGGGCAGGAAAAGTTCAAGGTTCCTGAATACAAAGAATATAAAAAATCAGATCAATTTACATTGCTCAGAATATGACTTGAAAAATATTTTTCCTCATCATAAAAAAAAGTGTCCTATGGGAAAAGCCATCTTAATGGCTCATCTCATAAATATACTTTTTAGTGCCTACATGTATCCTATCATACAGACATACTCTGTTTTACTCTATCAGTTTTTGGACACTACTGTTGTTTCTAGTTTTTCATGTCATTAATAATACTGCTATGGAGTTTTTTTGTATATCTAATTTTCCCACATATCTGATTATTTTCTTAGAACAGAATAGACTCCTAGAAGTAAGATCTATGAAGCAATGCATATGATTAATCTTTAAAAGCGTTACTGAATTGCTTTTCAGAAAAGTGATACTGATTTATGTTTCTATCCAATAAACATATGAGAACAACTTCACTAGTAATCAGGGAAATGTAAATTAAAACAACAGTAAGATACCATTTTTCACCTATAAAATTGGTAAAATTTTCATACTTTGATACGATTAAGAGTTCAAGAAGGAGTAGAGAAATTAATATACCTATACACTGTGGCATAGTGCCTAAGGCATTTGACTGCTAACTAGAAGGCTGGCAGTTCAAACCCACCAGCCACTCCTCAGAAGGAAGGTTGGGCAACCTACTTCCATATTGATACCGGCTTGAAAACCCAAGGAGGGGTCACTATGAGTCAGATCTAACTCCACGGCAGTGTGTTTGGTTTGGTATATACTGCCGGTGAGAGTGCCTATGGTTTTGGAGGATAATATGGCAGTATTCCAATGACATACCAAGGTGTGTAGGAGGGAGGCAGGAGGAGTATAGTGATCCACTCTGGGTGCAAGCAATAAGGAGTTTCATTGTTTGTAAAGAATTTAAAAACAATAACAAAACCAACTAAAACTGAATCTACTTTTTCTAATAATCATGTGCCATCATTTCTAAACAATGTCAGTGATAACATACTTCTCCCTATCAGGGTAGAAGTCTCCGACCCTCAACCACCTAGGTATGCCACAGCTACATCTATTAACATTTTAAATGTTGTGTGTCCTATGATTCAGTGACTCCTCGTTATCTACTTTAGAAAAATATTCTATCTGTGCCCAAGGAGACAGGAACAAAAGATGTTTACCCCAGTGGTGTTTCTAACGGCTATAAACTGAACACAGCCAACATACTCCACCAACAACAGTTGGGCACTATGGCAGGCCACTACTGGTTCCATACCCAATAGCCTTTTCTGCCCATACTCTTTATTCTTGCTGGAAGAACTCCAATTTTGTTGGGGTGTTCTCTGAAGCACTTGGGGAGCCAGTGGTATTTCAAGGCTCTTTCCTTTTTATTCCCTCAGACAGGTCTGCTCTCTACAGACAAAAACTTGCACCTCTTCTAGCTCTTTAGTTTGCCTTTCTATATTTCTAAATGTTGTAAGTATACTGCTATTTCTTGACGTATCACTTTTAGATACATTCAGATAAACTCTTGATTTTAAGCTTACTAAGTCTGCCTCCTTTTAGAGTCATTTATATGGCTTGATTTTTTTTTTTTAATTTGACACTTTAAAGTCATCTGAATGAAAATCTAAATTGAAGTTACCATTTTCATATGTGTTTATTATCTCTCCTCAGAAAAACTATTCTCTTCTGGGACAGTATGGACCACACCTTAGATTTTAAAAATCTCTTTCCTTTAGGTGCTTACACAGTAGTGGTTCAGTATATGCTTGTGGAATGGATAATTTTATGTAACCAAGTGGATTAAGGCTTTGACCTTTGCCCCTTCAGTAGTTGATCTCAGATGAAAAAAGTATCAGAAGAGACCTCTTTGGCCGCCGGAGTGGAGAGGTCTTGTTGGTTCAAACCGTGGAAATGGCCACTGTGGTTTTTACCTTCTCAAATTGGGACTCCGCATTTTTCACCAGTGTTATCAGCAATTCTACTGCTGACTGCTGAATGCAGAGATGTTTTGTATTTTTCAGGCCGTCCAATGCAGTCATTACAAACTGGCAGAGTTCATTTGAATTGAGAAAAACTTCGAAGACCTGAAATTATTTAGGGAAAATGAACTTCCAAGAAATATACTATGATAGTGCAATGAACAACAAATACATTCTAAATTAACAGAGAAGTGCACAAAGATGTACAAGGCTGTTGCTTTCAGTCTTGTTTACCAAAGTGAAAAACTAGAAGCAACCCAATGCCTACCCATTGGGTTTTACAGCTCAGACTTTTAGAAAGATGCTTCACCACTGAGATCCTCAGAAAGAGCCACACTTTTATAGGAATGAGACAAAGAAAAGGCTCTGAGGTTATATAGCTGACAGGTTCCCAGGAATAGTAAAATTCCTTGTCTGGAGTCAACATAATATTAAGATAATGTGCTAATCTGCTTTTATTGCATTTGGCATTGTATAAGGACTTTGCCATGTACGATAGGTAATAATTTACTGGGCACTTACTACTCAATGGATACTAAACAAAGCATTTTACACATAATATCTCACTTACCTCTCACAACAATTGAGTCATCCTAAGTTTCACAGAACCCTATGATGTAGATGACAAAACTGAGGCACAGAAAGATTAAATTACTTGATAACTTAGATCCTGTTAGTAAAGGAGCTCTGGTGGCACAGTAGTTAAAGCACTAGGCTGCTAGCCAAAAGTTTAGCAGTAAAGATTTATAGCCTTGGAATCCCTACAGGGCAGTTCTACTCTGTCCTATAGAATTGCTATGAGTCAGAATTGACTCGATGGCAGTGAGTTGGTTTTTTTTTTTTTTTTTAGCTTTTTTGTTAGTAAGATTTATAGGTTTTATTTCTTCCCTTAGTCCCTAACACAGGGCTTAGTACTTAAAAACGAAAAACAAACTCACTGCCATTGAGTCGATTCTGACTCATAGCGACCCTCACTGGGTTTCTAAGGCAGTAAATCTGTACGGAAGTAGATTGCCCCATCTTCCTTCCGCAGAGCGGCTGGTGGGTTGCACCACCAACTTTCTGGTAGCAGTCAAATGCCTTAGGTACTATGCCACCAGAGCTCCTAACTAGGGCTTGGCACCTACTATATACTTAATAAATATTTGTTGGATAATGAATAAATATATTAATTTAAAAGCGAACAACTTACTGGATCAACTATACCCCCTTGCATCTCGTTTTTGTGACAAGGGTTCACAATTGCAAGAGGCTGGCTAGGGGTTAGGAGAGCAATCGGTGTGAGCAGAGCTACACTAGAGACATCCAAACAGGGATGTTGGCCTCACTGGCAGGTTGACCTAAACCACTAAACTAGTAAGGTAAGGTGTGTTAAGAGTCACAAACATGTTGCATCCTCTCCAAACTATAAAATGTTTAGAGAACAAATTCTTTGGGCAATTTTGTATGTTTAGTTTCATAAGAAATTACCAGAACTTTTTTCCAAAGTAGTTTTACCATTGTATATTCCCATGTATAAATGTATCACAGTTCTGGTTGCTTCTCCATCCTTGCCAACATTTAAACCTGTCAGTCTTTCTAGTTTAAGCATTCTACTTACCTGGGCAATTCTGAAGGGACAACTGTAGAAGTGTTTGATACTGTAGAGCTCTAGGAATTCTCGGCATTTTTTCATTGCTTTCTGAAAGCTTTGGTGATATTTCCTGTCATGATTGATATCTGAAGAGAAAATATGAAACAAAAATACTTTCTGGCTTATTTCTTTCTCCTTGATTTTGCAAATTTGGTTGATCTCTAGGTTGAAACAGACTCCAGGGTCTCACTGTTCTTGTCTTTTACAAAAATGGCTGGAGGATGTGTTCATCTGAAGGCTGATTTGTTTCCCCTTTGTTGTAGACCAGTATATAAAAAGAGCTCAAAGGAAAAGGAACAAACTTTTTTCTGAGAGAAGGCCTTTTGAATAATTTGGGAGTACAACCAAGACATGCCACCCATTCTCCCTGCTGGTGAGGACTTTTTAGGCATGTCATGATGCTTAGGTCCCTGTATAAAACTGCCCAATTTTGTAGTATATCTGATAATTCCAATATCAGAAGTCTTTATGTGTCTAGTTTTGCAGGTTACTGTGTCTGCAACAGTTCCTTATAGTGCCTTGTTTTTCTCATGTTTTACTGTGATAGTATTTTTGTGATAGCAACTTATCTATGGGAAGTCTTTGAGGACTTGGTTGAGGATACTGTCTCTTCAACTAGAAAATGAACTCCTTGAGGGAAGAGATCTCACCTGTCTTGTTCACCGATGCATCCCTAAAACATTCAGTCTTTATAAATATTTGTTTAAAAAATAATCAATTTTATTTCCTTAACTGTGTATCTTGATAGACAGTTCTCATACTCAGAGTTTCCCAGAGATGGGACTGCTGCCTTGGAAAGCACAGAGCTTTCTTTTCCTTTGAATGAGGAAGTCCAGGTGGAACAATTACGTGGGGATGCAGTAGACTGAGATTCAAATACCAGAAGGGAGGCCGGGTTAGATCTCTCCTAAAGTCCCTTCTCACTGTGGGAGTCAGTGATACGTTCCTGGACCACACTGGTCCTCTAGTTCTCAGACACCTCCAACTCATACCTACTGAGGGCCCCTGAGTATGCTGCTCCCTCTACCTAATATACTCTGCTTACCTCTTCACCCGGCTAACTGCTCACCTTCAGATTATTTTCAGAGAAGCCTTTACTGAACTCCACAACTAAAGTGATTCTTACTCTTGGCCCCTGTATTTTTCCTTCACAGCAATTATATTTTTTTATAATAACATAGCTATTTGTTGATTCTTTGATTGTTTGACTCTTATGCTAGATTGTATATAACGTAAGGATTGGGACCACTTGTGTTGTGGTTATTGTTGGATCCCGGGTAAGTACTCAGTAAACATTTATAGGATAAATAAATGAATGAGGCTCAAATGATGGCAAGAATTTCTCCTACTTCTGACTAGTCACCCTACTTTGTTCATAGGGCTGTGTGTTCAGCCACTCTAACACTATCACTGTTAGTGCAGATGGCTGGCACTGATGGGTCTGATTCAGCATCATGACTCTAATTTTTGAGCCGGTGTTGCTTCATCATATACTTTTTCGCTTTATGACTACAGTTTGTAGAGCCTTTCTAGAACAAGGGATGTGAGGGCACAAAGAGAGCTGATACTTGTGTTGTGCTAGAGAACTTGTTCAGGGCCTCATTGCTCTCAGCAGCGCCTTACATTTCAGCTTCAGGGTGATATGCAGCAGGTAGTGTGTGCCCTCTGCAGCCTCCTCAGCTATTTCTTTCAGCGGGTCCCCACACAGCAGTGCCATGAGGGCCACCAGGTATCCAAGTCTTTGGAACTGAAGTGGAAGCTAATTAGGAAAGAAAAGGAAACATGCTGTCAGAATACAAGTGAATTTAGAATTTAATGCCTTAGATTGGATTTGTTAGAAAGCTATCCCACTTCTATTCCCAATTCAAGAGAAAGGCAAGAGTCACACTCAGCCCATGGATCTCTTTAGGGTTGACATTTAACATGTATACATAGCCAGCAGGTGGTATTATTGTTGTTGGGGGCTGTTGAGTAGATTTCAACTCATAGCAATCCCATGTGACTGAGTAGAACTGTCCTATGGAGTTTCTAGGAGCTCTGCTAGCATAGTACCTAAGGCACTTGACTGCTAATCAGAAGGCCGGCAGTTCAAACCCACCAACCACTCCTTGGAAGGAAGGTTGGGCAATCTACTTCCATAGTGATACTGACTCGGAAACCCAAGGAGGGGTCGCTATGAGTTGGGCCCGACTTGACAGCATATAACAACAACAAATGGAGTTTTTACGTGGGGCAAATTCTAACCTAAGTACATAATCTGAAAACTAAAACATTTTGTGCGTAAGGATGTTTATTCCAGAACTGTTATTAAAGACCAAAAACCCAAACTAACTGCTATCATGTTGATTCTGACTCACGGTGACCCTGCAGGATACAGTAGAACTGCCCCATAGGGTTTCCGAGGCTGTAAATATTTACTGAAGCAGACCGCCACATCTTTCTCCCACAGAGTGTCTGGCGAGTTCAAACTGCTGACCGAAAGGTCAGCAGATGAGCACTTTAATCACCGTACCACCAGCATATATTTTTAATGACCACATATTGGAAATAACTGCTGAATGATAGTAAAGAGAACTATGGTACAGCTACTCCATGAAAATACCTATCAGAAATCAAGTGCAGTGCAACGTATCACTTTTATATGACCTTTCTAGTCGTGGTCGTGTAACTCCCACCAAATGACTGGGTGGGACTATACAAATAAAGTACTTGTGGCCCACCAAGGGGATTGGACAGCTTGTTAATAATGCAAATAAAGTGTATGGCACCCTTTGGTTGGGACCATGAAAATAATGTATATGGAACCCTAACAAGGGGATTAGTTTTGTCATCATGCTAGGCTTAAAATAATCATTCCCAGAGGCAAAAAGGAGGGGCCTCACTACTACCAAGAAGAAAAACCAGGAGTGGAGCGTGTCCTTTGGCCCTGGGGTTCCTGTGCTGAGAACCTCCTAGACCCAGGAGACAGAGAGAGGGAGCTGTAACATGGAAAACAGTGAAAGACAGTGGTGCAGCAGTGACAAGAGCAACAGCTGCACAAGAAGGCAGGAACCAAGAGACCAGTGTGAGAAGGCATAGTGGGCTTTCCAGCCCATGGAGCAAGGCAGTTACAGTGTATGTGCCGACTCAGAGTGAGAGCTGAATGCTTTGGGGCAGGAGGCTTACTGGCAGAGTGAGGTGCCTTTGGGCACTTGGGGATAGTGCTAGGCCTGCCAAGCCACAGGGCTAGAGAGCTGAGCACTTTCAGACTGAAGCTTATTGGAAGACTGACATGCTCCTGGCCACTTACTAACTTACTAGGACCCTGGGGCCAAAGGACACACTCCACTTCCAGCTCTTCTTCTTCTTGTCTGAGCAGGGCAGAGGTCAGGCCATGGGGCCAAACAGCCATGAGCCAGAAAGAGGATTGCCTGCGGGCACAGCTGAGAAGAGGGTGACCTGATCGAAGATCCTGAGTTGTCCTTGATCCTGAATTGTAACCTGTAACTTCCCTAATAAACTCCATAATCGTATTATCTGTTGACTTCTATGTAGCCATTGCAGTGAATTATTGAACCCATCAGAGAAGTAGCAAATGCCATGAGAGGAATGGCTGGTCTCAAAACTGGTAAAAAGGTTGGAGAGAAGAGGTATGTCTCACTTCTGCCTCACAGGAATTAGCCTTGGGCTGCTGACAATGATTGCTCTCCCCCCTTATGAAGTTACAGAAGGTCAGATGTCTCTGCCACACCATTTTTACATCAAGTATCTCAGAAATCGATAATAAGGCAGGAATAGGTGCTATCCTGCTAAGTGAAAAAGCTGTATGTATGCAAAGTTGAGGTCCAGAATTTAATACCATTTAAAACATTTATTCATATCCTGACTTAATTTGGAAAAAATAATATAAGGTGACTAACAAAAACCATACCAGAGGAAGAAATACAATTTAAAATAAACACTGAAGAAAATAGAACAAATTAAAAAAAAAAAAATGAAGGTAGGAAAAATAAATGAGGCTAAGAATTTGGTTAGTATGCAGACTGCATAGTCATCATTTGTTTGAGGTAGGTCACTGAGCTAGGATCTGAGCTTTCCTATGACTAATGCAGAGGCACACAACTGTCCTGTGTAATAGAATTCTTGCTGTTTACAAGGTAAGGAGCAAACAGCAACACAGAAGAAGCAAAATTTTTCCTGGGAAGAAAGAAATTTTTTCTGTTGTTCTTTTTTAGAAACATTATGAACAACAGCCTCTAAAACTTATTCATGGTGAACATAGTAACAAATATAAAAGCAGTGTCACATCTTTAATTCATTGATTTAACCTTCATTCATTCAGTCAGTCAAAAAACAAACACTAAGTGTCATGTACAGCAATTGGTCTCTACTCACCAGGAGCAACAGAAGAAAAAGGGGGGTCAGGAATAGGAAGAGGAAATGGAATGCATGGCTAATTGCTTCCATGAACAACTGGTTCCATTGTAATGAGACCAGAACAAGATGGTGCTTGGCTACCACTACTGAATGTTTTGATCAAAGATTCTATAGAAGACTAGTGATCAAAAGGGGAAAACGCAGAACAGAATTTCAACTTGTCATGAACTCCAGACTTTCTGGATCCATTGAAGCTGGATGAACCCCTAAAACTATTGCCTTGAGATAACCTTAAAGCAAAAATAACCCCTGAAGGACCTCCAGTAATATGGTGGAATAGGGAGACAAGCCACACAGACCTTCTTCAACCCAAAAAAAAAAAAAAAAAAAAAAAGAGAGGGAAACCAATTGACAGAAATATAGAAGATAATTCTGGAGCCCTGAGCTTTGAAAGGAAGTATACAGAAGTGGATTAGGCACCAACGAGTGGAAAAACCTGAACAAAAACAGTGAGTACAGCGATGGTCAGAGCAGTGGACTGTCAGCTACTCTGACAAGACAGACAGGCTGAATATTTCCAAGTGGTATTGGGACCTGAGAATTGACCTAAAGATCAAGGGCTGCAGGGACAACTGCACTGGTGGCCTGTGACTAGGAAGGGAAACAGCAAAGAGGGAGACAACCTGAGCTGTGGACTTTCAGCTGTCCAGAGGGCACAGCCATTTTTATTGTTTACACACGGCAGCCATAGTGGATATTTAAAGTGACCAAGAGTGCAGCCATTTTGATTGTTTACAAGTGGTGGCCATTTTGGATTTTAAAGTGACAGTATTCTCATTTGGATTCCAGGGACCTAAGAATAGGCTCCATTTGCCAAGGATGGCAGGGACACATGGGAGGCAGACAATAGGAAAGGAGACATGTGGTAAGTACATAAATGCTGCCAACTAGCAAATAGAGGAGGACAGCACAGTACCCTGCTTACATAGATAACATACAGAGAAAACGAAAATAGTGGGCAAGTCACTCCAACATACAATCATCAATTAAATATAAACCCCAAAACGTCAAAATGCCTCAGAGACAACAGAGCATCACAGCCCACACAAAGAAGCAAAATAAAGCAGGAGAAACAAGGGAATAGGATACAGACCCAAACCACATCCCTGAGGAAGATGCAGTATTGGAACTCCCTGATAAGGAATTCAAAAGAATTATATTTAGGTACCTTCAACGGATTGAGAGACAGATCAAGAAAAACACTGACAAAATTG